CCCCAACTTCAACAACCACCACCCAGCCACTAAACTCTCTGGGGAACACTCCCACACTAGCATCAACTTCCTGGACACCACCATCAGCTTCAACAATGGAAACCTACAGACAACCCTAGACAAGAAACCCACAGATCACCACACCTAGCTTCATAAACCCAGATACGGGGTATCATCAAACAATTATAACCCATACTCGATGGGGACCACATCCTGAAACAAGTCTTCCCTGAGCCCCCACTTCTGACCTTCAAACAGCCCCCCCAGCCTCTCCAAGCAAGCTCCCCACAGACAAGGACACACCAACTCAAAGCAGCACCAGATCCTGCCAGAACAACAGATGCAAAATCTGCAGACGTATCTCCACTGCTACAATGATCAACACCCCCCACAACTCACCTTTCAAAATCCACGGATCCTACACCAGCCTATCACAACCTGTGGGGTACCTCATCAGCGCACTAAATGCCCCAATAACAACGATGTGGGTCAAACCAGACAATGACGATGCTCTTGAATGAACTCACACAGGAAAATGATAAAAGACAAAACCACCCTGTCTCCTGTGGGGAACACTTCCTCAAAGGAAGCCTGCACAACGCTTTCAAAAGACGAGCCTGGGAGCTTAAATTCATAACTCTGCTAGACACTAAAAATCATGGACTGAACAGACACTGGATTTATGGCTTGTTACTACAATCTGTAACCCAATAACCCACTCTTTTTATCCTATGACTGCAGAAGTGTTAACGGGCCACCCTGCCTTGAATGGTCCCTTGAAATAGGTGTTAACTGCTTATGCTAAACCTTGTATTTACCTGTAACACTCTGAGGGCATGGCTACACTGGAAACTTTTTTAAAGCACTGTCACAGGGTCCACCTCCACGAGGGGATTAGCTCCGAGCGCTGGGAGCCTGCTAACACTAGCACTTTAAAGCGCTCAGACTTGCTGCGCTCAGGGGGGGTGATTTTTTCAGTCCCCTGAGCCGGCAAGTTAGAGCGCTATAAAATGTAAGTGTAGCCAAGCCCTGAGTAAGGGCACGTCTCTACTGAAAAAACTGCATCAGCCCAGCTGCACCACTGTCTACACAGGAGGTTCGGTCGGTGTAACTAACTATGTCGCTCAGGGGTGTGGATTTTTCACATCCGGGAGCAAAATAGTTATGGCGAAACAGGTCTGTAGTGTAGACCAGACCTGAGTTTCCGAGAGCTGAAGAAGAGCTCTGTGTAAGCTTGAAAGCTTGTCTCTCTCTCACCAACCGAAGTTGGTCCAATAGAAGATATCCCCTCACCCACCTAGTCTCTCCAGTTGCGTGTAAGGCTTCACAGGCTTATCCAATTAGAAACCTCCCCTCACGCCCCATCTCAAAACAGTTTTTGAATATCTGGGGCTTGACCCTGCATTCCTTGTGCAGCCAAAGCCCCCACAGAAATCAGTGGAATGCAGGATCAGGACCATTGTACGTACCACAGAATGTCCCCCAGTTTTCCCCACAGCTGTGCCCTCTACACTTTGTGCTGCTCCATGTCCCCCAGCACCACCTGCCCCAGCTCTCTAGAACCAGGCCAGTGTCCTGAGCTCCCTGGAAGGGTTTTGTAGGACAGAGAAGGAAATGCTGGTACTTACCATTGATGGTCACTTGGGTTCCAGTCCCAGGAGATGTCCCATGTTTGCTCCCAACCCCACATATGTAGGTTCCAGAATCCATGACATCGGCTTTCTTCACAGTGAGGGAAAGAGACCCCTTTGCTATATCTGCTGATAATATGATTCGATCTGTTACACTGTTCACCTTTTCTGTTACATGGTTTCTGGTTTTATTCCATTCAACAAACCACTTGATAGAGTTATTGCTTGAGTTGAATGTACACTCGATGGTGAACTCTGACCCTTCCATTGCACAGATAGAAGGGGGTGTCTGATTCACCACAAAGACAGCAGCAGTATTTTCTGCAGCTCCTGAAACACAAAGTTCAGTGTCACTATTTACATTATTGCAATGGAGGAAGAATTAAATCAAACAAAATTGTTTGCAAATGATCCACTGCAGAATGTT